TATAAATCAAATCGAAATCTATTAATTAACATATTCTTTTATTTAATTTTCGTTACCATATGGTTTATAATAATTAACATATTGTATATTAGTGAATTGTTTGAAATATACTATGAAATATTAAAATTTATTAATTTTTAAACATGTCATTTTTGGTCATTTTACATTTCTCAACTAGTTTTTGCCAAACATATTCAGTTAATCAGCTAGCTTATTAGTCATCAGCTAGTTTGCCAAACATAGCCTTAAAATAGACAATTTAAGCTTAACTTTAGAGTATTCTTAACAACTATGTCTAACGGTCATTAACTTTCTCCATTAAATTCAATTATCTGTATAATGTAACTTGATACCAAGCTCTCATGCAGAGCTTCTAACATGATACAGAGCTCTCATGCAGAGCTTCTGTATAACATCCTCTAAGTGGTTTTTACAGTGTGATACAGCGTGTTTACCATTTGAAATCTAAACCTTGAAACCGAATCTTAAAACATGACGTTTGGGACGTGAGCCTTCTAGAGTTCTATACAGGACCAAAGGCATAGCTAAACATTGTAACAACATAAATTTTGATCGAGTAATTACCTCTAAACGACGGGAAAGCAGGGGGTGTTCTTGCTTGGTCTTGAACTCCAGTTTCTCTTTCTCAAGCTCGACGATTTCCTTCTCCTTCTCAAAGAGTAACGACCCTAAGCTAGTGCCCACGATTTATACTCAAATGGTTTGGCCTATTAGTTGACCAAATCGGCAGAATCCCGAGTTTTGGGCTGTGAAACTGTCTTCTCCACAGCCTGCAACCATGCAGGTCGCAGTTTCCTTAATTGGGCCAGGCATTGCCTGTGCCTCTGCTGCCCCACCCAAGCTGACAGCAGGCCCCCCTTCTAATTGGAGCCTTCAGCCCTTAGCCGTAAGTAAAAACAAATTTAACTTATTTTAAATTTCTAACTTTTATTTAACATATATATATATATATGTATATTCACAAATAAAATAGAAATAATAATTAAGATGCATTATTTTATTTTCTCGAAATTTTGGGTTTTACAAAAACCCCCGTTTCCCTATTGGGTATGAATATATGATCATATTCCCCGCTGCGAATAAGGACTGGGGGACGGGGATGAGGTGAGGTCCCCGTCCCATTCCCATGTCTATTCCAATGCAGTATATTTTTAACAAAAAGTAAAGTGGCTTCTAAGAACTACTGTTGTGTATAGTTCTTATAAGAACCTCATTTTCTTTAGGTTTTTGTACAAGAAACTTGATTCTTACCATAAAGTTTGTGTGGAATGACATTTTCATAGTTTTTTATTTTTATTTTTTAATGACTTTATAATTATTAATATATATTACATATGCAAAATTATTAATAATGATGTTGAAAAAATCAACGAGACTAAAAAAAAAGATTCTTAATTTTATGAGTTGGAGATGAGGTAACAATAAAAAAGGGGAAAAAAGAGGTTCTTATAAAAACCTCCGTTATTTTTGGAAAATTTTATTTTAAAAACTTTAGAACTTGTATATAAAAAACTTTACGCATTTGTATACTGGATATTTTTATTAAAAATATATAAAATGACCAAAACACAAAACATAGGGAGGTGTTTGTAATTTACTCAAAATTTTAAAGCATCTCTAATAGATTCTTCAAAAGATGATAGGTTTATCTTCAACCACTTCTCCATTTTGAAAACTACAATGTTCTTTATATTATTAAAACTAGAAGGGTACTCGTGTAATGCAACGAGATACATTTCGATTTTAGTGTTTTGTTTTATTCTGTATCTGTCAATGTTATAATATGATTTTATGGGGTGCTGAAAAAACGATAATGTTTTTATTTTTTGAATAAAATATTAATTTGAAGGTATCATAAAATTTTGAAAAAAAATGTATCAATTTTAATATCAAATTAGATATTTAAATTGTTTCTTTAATTAAATGTTTTATTATAATTTAATTTAATAATGAAGTAATTCATTTTTATTTTAATAATATAATTTTTTATAAAGATAATAATTGTATTTTGTTAAAATTCAATAACTATCCTAAATATATTTTAGATTTTTTATATTTAAAATGAGAAACCCATCCAGTACTTTGTTATGTTTATTTGCAGTTAGTTATACGAATTCAAACATGAACCTTCAGTAAGTTATACATACACACAATTTACTTATAATCTTGAATTTCAAGTAATATGCATTAATAAATAACACTTAATGCATAAAAATTAATTTTTAAAAGTTTTTATCAAATATTTTATAATATAATATATATCTATATATATATAATACAATTAATAAAATATATTACTTCTCTCCTAAACATTTAATTCAAGGAATCTCAATAGTAGAAAATATTAAAACATCATTTCTCTTTTTCTAAATAATATTTTTAGAGAATTTTTATATTAAAAACTTTAAAACTTGCATATACAAACTGTACACATTTGTATATTGAAATATTTTTATTAAAAAATATATAAAATGATGAACATACAAAATAGTGACTTGAAAAGATTCTTTAAAAAAGAATTAAAAATTAATTTCTTTTAGGTTTATTTAGAACATATTTTCTATTTTTAAAAGGGAAAATTATATCAAAATGGAACCAACTTTCATATAATTCTTATTTTGGGAAACCAACTTTCAAAATCGTCATTTTGGGGAACCAACTTGCATCTGATTTCTATTTTGGAGAACCAACTTTCAAAATCGTCATTTTGGGGAATCAACTTGCACCTGATTCCTATTTTGGGGAATCAACTTGCACCTGATTCCTATTTTGGGGAACCAACTTGCAACATAATTTTAGAAAAATAACTAAAATCCGTTTTTTTCCAAAAATTAATGCAATAAAATCTATTTTTCATTTTAAATCTCGTTTTTTTAATTCAGATATCAAATTGAATTTTTCTAAAAAAAATCCAAATTATCACAATAAAAATTATTTTTTACTAATGCAAAAAAAAAATTAATTTAATAGAAAAAAAATAGTTGATACGGATTAATTAGATATAAATTTTTTGAATGTGACATTTAATATTTAATTTTTATTGCATCAATTAATTTTTTTTCTATTAAATTGATTTTTTTGCATTAGTAAAAAACAATTTTTATTGTGGCAATTTGGATTTTTTTAAAAAAATGTTCAATTTGATATCTGAATTAAAAAAAAAACGAGATTTAAAATGAAAAATAGATTTTATTGCATTAATTTTTTGAAAAAAAAAACGAGTTTTAGTTATTTTTCTATAATTATTTTGCAAGTTGGTTTCCCAAAATAGGAATCAGATGCAAGTTGGTTCCCCAAAATAACTATTTTGAAAGTTGATTCCCCAAAATAAGAATTAGGTGAAAGTTGGTTATATTTTGATGCAATTTTTCCTTTTTAAAACTACGATATTTATTATTATATTATTAAAATATTCAATACAATTAATATTATATTATTTTTCTATGCTAAGCATTTAATTCAAAAAATTTCTATTGATAAAAAATATTAAAACCATTTTTTAATAAGTAATTAATTCTATTTTTTTTTTAAATTTAAAGATTTTTCTTTACTTTTTGAATTTTAAAAATGTTTTATAAAATCTTATAAAACATAAACTTTAAAATCTATATTTTAAAAAAGTTATTGAAGATAATAATCGATCAAATTCGAGATGGGCCTCCACGTAGTCTGTGAATTTAGAAAAACAGGCCCAGCCATTTCAAATGAATAACGCACCGAAAATTCAAATTCCACGCGAATTAACTCCGTGTATTCAACACGCGCCAATATTTTTAATGACACGCTCCCATCTTATGTACACTCGCGGAAGTGGAGCGTGGAAAAGATGAGTAGGTGGTGATTTTAGCAGCTCAGTCTTAAATGGCGATTTGTGGCATCTATATAATAATACGCCGAGCCCTACCGAGCGCATCGACTGCTCTCTCTCTCTCTCTCTCACACACACAAGAGACTCGTTGCAAGGGGTGTTCTGAGGTAAACTTCTACCATCTTCTCTTGGATTTGTTTGAATTGATTGTTGTTTGGTTGGTATGATGTTTTTCTGGTTCTGTGAACTGATCGAAAGCGAATTTGAATCTAACGATGATGGATGTATTATACGTGTTTATTTTTTTATCGTTTACGATGTTGATTCAGCTTGATGTTCATACTATTTGGATATAGTGATTTCTTAGATTGTTTCGTCATGATTAGATGTTGATTCTGCTTGATCTTCACGCTATTTGGATATATTGATTCCTTAGATTGTTTCGTCATGATTATAGAACAATTGACGTCAATTGATTGGGAGGGTGTATGTGTGTTTATCTTGTTGTAAATTTAGGTAAAACCATGGTAACTGTAGCCATAACAAACAGTACTGTGGTAAATGATTAAATAATGAATGCTATAATGGAAGTTATATAGTATGATTTACGATCGGACAATCTGTTTATATGAAGTGAAAAAACGGGGGGGGGGGGGGGGGAGGTTCTTACGGATTGGTTTTGATGCAAATTGTACTTATGGAGAATTTAATGAAATCAAATCACAACACACAGGGGAGGTATCTATTGATTTTGTAAAGATGGTTTGGGCAGGATAATAAGGAAAGGTGTTTCCATTTTGGGAAGTGTTACTTATATAGTTGACTTCTGGCATGAGGAGAAGAACTGTTGTGAATATTCTTTTACAGATGAGTACTTTTAATGACGGTCTGTCCTCATTGAGGTTTTGAATATTTTTCTACTTGTTCACCGTTCCATACTAAACAGGATTTGTGGGTATTAGTGATAAGGTCTATCATCCTGCTTCTGTTGAAGGTTCTTTTTATGTTTGAGTGCTAAGGAGTAATAAGCTGGGCAAGAAAAGTTGTAACAGTGCTCAAAATGGTTAGAATTTAATGGTTAAAGGACATGGAAATTATGGCAGACTTACTTGCTACTTTGTTCTATTGCATGTATTCTACTTTGTTTTGGTACACACACTAGTTTTAGTATTTTACTGATAGTTTCTGTTGTCTCATGCTTTAGTAACATTTCAGAATCTTCTAAAACTTTTTCATGATTTCTCTAGACCCTTCTGAAGAAGCGGGGGTTGTCAAGGAAATAGCCTTTCTAGTCCTTGGGGTAGAGGAAAGGTTTACGTATATCCGACCCCTAAGACAGGGTTTGTGCTTATGTAGAGGAGCGGCATCCCTTTTTAATGAAGTAACTTGCATGAATCTTCTCCCAACAGTGATTGTGCTGTGGTTTAGATATCTAATACTTGCAAGCTCCATTGGTTGGTGTTGATGGATCTAACTTTTGGGCCAACCAACAAGGAGTTCAGGGATTGAGGCCATGGATCTTGATATCTAACATACATGTTGTTCTGAAAGTTGTAGGTGCTTCGTTGATAATATTTGGTTATTCAATTGTTTAGATCACATTCAAAAATGGTGAAGGCAGTTGCGGTTCTTAGCAGCAGTGAGGGTGTCAGTGGCACCATCCTATTCAGTCAAGAGGCAGAAGGTACTCTTTGAGTTATATCTTGTTGTTGTATCAGAGTATAGATAAAAACATCAGTTACCTTACTTGACTAATGTCTCAGGTGCTCCCACTACTGTTACTGGAAACCTTTCTGGCCTCAAACCTGGACCTCATGGTTTCCATGTTCATGCACTTGGTGACACAACCAATGGATGCATGTCAACTGGTACATGTTCCTCTTCAAACTTCGGACAAGTGAATTAGTTTCTGCATAATGTCCATAATCTAATCAACAAAACCTGTTCTTTTGATGCTAGGACCTCACTACAATCCCCATGGAAAAGAGCATGGCGCACCTGATGATGAAGTTCGCCATGCTGGTGATCTTGGGAATGTCACAGTAGGCGAAGATGGTATATGTGCTTTAAGTTTCTAAAACTAGCATTATGATCTTTGTCTCATCTCTCATGCAAACCTATATACCAGATGAATTTTCAAGATCTAACTTACATGAACTTTGCTTCGTTATTTCTTAATTAAGTGTGATTAGCAATGTGCTCATTATCAACATTGTTCATTCAAAGCTTTTCCAGTGCAAAATGTTAGTTTGAAATTTGCTCATTCGTTTTTCGTATATGTTGTGGGGTTGTCATTATTTTTTGTATTACCCACCTCTTTTACTCTAGTAATGGCACCATTTTACTTTCTAAATTATTAGGAGGAACCCTTGATGGTTCATACAACAACTGAAGGTTCTATTGCATGCATGATTTTCAATTTCCATTTCTAGTTTCTTTGGCTTGTGTAGTAAAAGAGGTGGGGAACTTTTTAGATTAAAAGTCTTGTTCAACACATGTTTCAAAAGGTTAAAAACTGTTAACGGAAAAATGAACAAAGTGAGTTTTGTGAGCATGTTTGACTTGGAAAATCTTACATAGATGACACGGCAATTAATTCAATGTTTTTTTTATTGAAAGATTTTGGTTTCTTTGGAACTTTAATATGTCATGCCAAAAGCACAAATGCTGAACTCTAATGGTTTTCTTATCAACTCAGGTTCTGCAAAGTTCACCATTGTTGATAAGCAGGTGGGCTCCTTTAGATTTCTTGCAATCGAGCTTCACTATGTACTTGATTATACAAATCTAACTTTCATATTAATTTATGTATAGATTCCGCTAATTGGATCACAATCCATTGTTGGAAGGGCTGTAGTTGTTCATGCAGATCCTGATGATCTTGGAAAGGGTAAACTTTTCTTATTTCTTTACCAGTTTTCTTATTGATTCAAATACACTAGTTTTAGAACACATGGTTAAGAAAATCGACACCTTTTGCACAATAATAGTAGCAAATGGACGCCTCTGGTCTAACACTTTGTTGTTTAGTTTGGCTTACGGTAAGTCAAGCATCATAGAGTGCTATGCTGCAAAGCATGATGCAAAACTATCATTATGCAACTCAAGATCATGTCATTTGTGCTATTATTGTGCTTCTAAACATAATATCGGGATTTCTACTCAACTTGTACAAAATGATATCCTCATCTCTCTACCAGATTTCCCTTTCATTGGTCCGCGCATATGAGTTGTCATTCATAAAAGTTTTCTGGTGCTAACCCATCTAATTATCCATATCTTATTAGGAAATAATCATATGCTTTCTCAGAATTCCAGTGGTACTGATTTGTCTGATATAACCTATTAGGTTGAGTGTACAAACAGTGCCTCTAGTCTTACTCTAAAATAAATAGTACCAAAACTAGTGCTACGTTTAGATATTTTGATGTCAAACCTATTGTTTTTTTGAAATGTGAAATTGAGATGGACTTTTGTTAAAAATATACCACCAGCATAACAGCATTTGTAGTAGCTTCGCAAGTTTATGTTACCAAGTTTTTCCAAACAACTTCAGGACCCTGCACTGAACTTTAAAGTTGAAAAATGGCCAGCTGACACTTGATGTCTTGATATATAATCACTCAAATTGTCTATTATTGTGGAGTCTTCTTAATAGTATTTGTTTATTTGAATGTTTGTTCGGAGGCCCTCCCATGGAGCTACAAAGCTCAAAACCCTACTAAAATTAAAATTTATTGTTCATCTTAATTGTCTCAAGTCCTCTGAGACAGATTTCTAAAAAAATGATGGTTATTTATTTTCTTTTCTTTTTATATACATTTTCAGTAGTTTCAAGAAATGTGAAGTTAAAAGTCCAGTGTCCAAAAACAGTGCATATTCTCCTCTTTCTATCTCTCTCTCTCTCTCTCTCTCATATATATATATATATACATATACATATATATATGTATGTATATATATAACAATATATATATTTCTGGCCCCTGGCTCAAGTTAAGTAGGATTTCATGGTACTTTGAGAATTGTTTCTAGAGCATGATATTTTGGCTGCCAATGTTCTCTGTTGTATATCCTGTTACTGATCTTGGGTTGACCACTTTGTCCTACAGGAGGCCATGAGCTGAGCAAAAGCACTGGAAATGCTGGTGGAAGAGTTGCATGTGGTAAGCCAATATGTGTTCTCTACTCCTTTTTTTTTTCTTTCTGTATCAAGTCTGAAAAAGGCTTGAAGAGTACAAAGGAACATTAAAGAAATAAGAGTTCCAAAACCAGACCTTTCTTGCTGTGAATTAAAAACAAACTGGAACTAGTTTTGGTCTCTTGCTTACATTACATGGATGTTGACATATGATATATATGCAGGTATCATTGGATTGCAGGGTTGATTTCTGTGCTCATCTCTCTTCCATATTGCCAGGGAATACTGAGGCTTGTTTTCTTGAAAATCTATATGTATCCCAAAGCTATGGTTGTGTTTGTACTGCGTCCTTTAATAAACTATTCCCTGTGCTTAGCTGAGTACTCCTTTTGAATTATGAGACATCTTTTATCCCTTGATGATACAACTTTTGAAAATACTTGTGCTTCACTATCCCTCATCCATGATAGTTTGTAAGTGGCTTGTAGTATAAACCAAACGGACTCGGTATATCTCACTTGAAAGCAGGGTCGGGGGTAGGCTGTAAAGAGACCTCTCTTCAACTGTTTCTGTAGGGACTCCTGGCTTTGCGGAAAAAAAGGGGGGAGATAAGAGCTAAAGTGGTGGCTCGTATGTTTGTGTCAAGATCTTGAACTGAAATTACTCATTATCTCATCATTTTTACTTTTGAATGGACGTTGAACTCAGGGTAAAAGAGTATATGAAAAAAGGGTAGATGCCACGATTTGAGGTATTCTCACAGCACCAGTCTCACGGTCATTCTGCATCCATTGGCATATGAGCGGTGCCCAGTTTCGAACCTTGGACCTCACTTATATAGATTGCACACACCTTTACCATCAGGACAAATGAGCCGGGACATGAGCATAGGTTAATAGATTAGGTACGTAACCCATAATGAAATGGGCAATATATAGGTTAGCCATCCTATGAATGAGTTAATAGAAGCAGGGTGTTTGATAGTAACCATGAGCTACCTAGTGGTTCGTAATCGGCACTTGATGGCAGCATATGCACTCGATGATATCATTCATAGTTTAGAGATGGATGTTTAGACCGAGCCTTTTGGAAATTTATAGTCATGCCATGCTCTATTTTGTTTAGAAGCCTTTTTGACTGTTTTCTGAGGATGCTTCTTGTCTAGTTGCTCTAATCAAGTTTTCAATATTCTGCGGTTACATTGGGCTATTCTAATGCTTAATTTTAGGCTGTATCCCACCTAAACACATCCGAAACACATCTAAAACTTAGGGGTTGTTTACTAAACGCTTATCTCAGTAAGAGTCTATCGGTTCAATTACCTTACAGGGTGAACACAACAAGGACCGAGAATCTTACTTGGTAAGAAGGAAAACACAAATCAAGAGTCTTACCCGATAAGCGATGGTGGTGATTGATATCCGGTAAGTGCTTATCGGGTTGTAAATGTTTACCATCAATCAATTTTGATAGCCGAGAGTGTTACCCCGTAAACTATATGAGAGTGGTAACGGCCTTAAGTAGTTTCCCTAAATCCATCAAACATGACTCTGATGCCAAACAATGCAGCACCTTACATATTGTTTTCTAAAGCACTTCTTTGACTTGATGATTGTAGAATAATTTAGTGAAAATGAGTTTTCAAAACGTACACCTTAATCAAGGTCTTAAATGACATGAAACATGGTGTGATGACGAGGTCAAACCGTAACCCAAAGCCATGTCCTACCACATCATTCTTGTATGTCTCAGTTATATATGATGTACATATATGTTTTCTATTGTATTCAATGAGACAATGATACAATGATATTGAGGAATATAAATTTGTAGAAGAAAGATCAAATATATTGATATTATACTAAGTACGTGATCAAATGATTAAAATAGAATCTGAAAAGGTTTTACAGGTTCGTTTTAACCTTAACTTCATAATTAGTTTTTTGTGTGCATTACCGTTATGAGTGAGGTATTTGGGTTAATCTGTAAAGGTGTAAAAAATACACAAGAAGGAAAATCACACCTCAAAACCAATAAAAAGCAATCTGGTGAAGCTTTTAAAAAAGAAAAACCCAATTCAACAAGGTTGGGTTTTAATTAGTTGGAAAGTCATGGTGAGAGCATAATAAGAAGAGATTTTATTTTCGAATCAATTATGATTGAATGTTAACATTAATGAGATGCACCAAAAGCATAATTTATGGATGGACATTGGACTAAAAGTGATTAAGTGTTTAGATCTTTTCTTACGTTTTTCATCATAAATTTTCTTCCCAACCTTCAATTGTGTCGGGTAATATGGGTTTTGAAAGGGGAAGGAAAAGTAATATATCAAGAGATGGAGATGGAGATGGGCTTCAATGCTTTTGGAATGGAGAGATTCGTTTGAAGATGGGCCTTAGATTAGGTTAACAAACGGAGAAGGAGATGGAGATGATGAAAAAGGTAGAGGGGGTCGCCGGAGAAGAAGGGTACGTTAGAGAAGGAGGAGGCATCAATGCCGATTAATTAAGGTTTTGTTTTGTTTTTTTATTTGTTATAATAGCTTTTGGAGTAAACTTCGTTTTTGGTCTCTAAGATTTAGTGATTTCTTTGAAAGTGGGATTTAAACTTCAATAAGTCAAGATGTCGTCCCTTAGGTTTGGATTTTGCATCGACTTCGTCAAAAAATATCCGTCACAGCCAAGGGTAAAATCGTCTAAGTGTCTAACCATGTTTTGTCTCTCTTCCTGCACTTTTTTTTGTTTTTCCTTATTTTTGTTAAAAACATCAAACTACAGGGCCCAACTATGCAATTATATATACACAGACACACACATATATATACACACATATACATACATATATATATACACACACACATATATATATATATATATATACACACACAGACACGTCTTCCACACCCCGCTAAACCTGCGGCAGTACCCCCTACGGCCTCCGCTCCTCTTTTTTCCCGGCACCACCCTCCCCTTCCTTTTTCACCTTGTTTTCCTCCATTTTTTGACGATACCTCCCTCCCCACCACCGTGATTTGGTCCCTGTGGTTTTTTGGCCGACGATATCGTCACTGTGCTTTGTTCTATGTGGTTTCATCGCTGTGGTTTGGTCCCTATGGTTTCGTCTCTGGAGTTGCAGGTGTGGGTTGAATCGGTTTGGGTTTGGTGGCCAGAGGGGAATGGGTTGTTGGGGGTTCACCGGGAGTGATCGGTTTGGATTTGGTTCTTGTGACTGTGACGTTGACGCCATGGCCGTCGATCGGTTTGGATTTGGTCCTGTGGTTCCATCACCGTTAAAGCAATTTGTTTAGGGTGCTGATTTTGATTTCAAGGTTTAGGGTTAAATTTGGGTTTGATTTTGATTTCATTTTGGTGTTTAGATTTTGGATTTGGTTTTGCATTTAATTGATGTTGGTGTTCTGATTAAAAGGGTTTTCGCCGGAGAAGATGACCGGGAAGGGATGTAAAATTTGAAGTTTTGGTCCCTCTAATATCATAGTTTTTACAAAAATAAGAAAAAAAAAATAAAAGTGCAAAAAAAGGGACAAAACATGGTTTGACGAAAATACCCCTAGCTCTAAGAGATAAAATAGGAGTACGTGACCCGTTCCCATTTTCAAAACAAAATCCAAACTTAAGTGATGACATCTTGACTTATTAAAGAGTAAGGGGCCGTCTATCAAACGCTTATCCAGGTAAGCGTTTATCAAATCATATTATCTTACAGGATGAATATGGTGTGAAGAATGATGGGCCGTTTACCCAATGACTTATCTGATAAACGCTTACTGATAAAATTCAACACCATCACTTACCTTATTGAGTAAGACTTTTGTCAATCAAAACGACATCATATGCAATAATTAACTCGGTTAAGCACTAACTGGTAAGAGTTATCACCCTCACTTAACGGGTACTTAGACTCTTAGTCGTTGCCATCGTGCCTACCGGGTAAGAGTAATCATGCTCACATACCCGGTAATTAGACTCTCGGTCCTTGCGATCGCACTTATCTGGTAAGATTCTCGGTCATTATCATGTTTATCCGATAGAATAATTGGATTCGATAAGTTCTTACCAGGTAAACGTTTAGTAAACAACCCCCTTAATTTAATTTATTTTAATGTATATTAAGGTTTTTACGTTAAAATATGCTAAGGTGTATTAAGATTCATTAATGTATGTTGAAGTTTAATGTTTTCATGAAGCACACACGAAACCTTAACGTATCTTACGAAAGTGGTTGCTTTCACGTAAACATGCATATCCTAAACCCGACCCAAACAACAATATGCTTTGAACAAACCAAATTTAAACCCTAAAATCTTAAATCGAAGTTATTTTCAATACTGAACCTAAATAACAACTATTCCTTCGATTCCCTCTTTCGTTCAGGTTTTGGTCGCCTACACTCGCAACGGTTTGCCGCCGTGCACAGTGGCATCTGACCTCACACTACAACAAAATCGGGTTTATAGGACACTCCCAAATTCTAAGCGTCCTAATAGGCTCTTTATAAGACTTAGTTTACATGACCAAAAAAATAAAGCGTCCTATCTAAAAGCGTTGTAATAAGTTTATATGACGTTTTTTGATGACATAATAAGTTTATTAGGACACTTTTAATATAAAACATCCCATTAGCAACTTTATATATAGGACGCATTTGAAAAATTGTCCTATAAAAACAAATGTCGTATAAAAAATTGAGCTATAGTAAACTTTCTCAAAAGTGTCCTATAAAGTTGGTAATGCGACACTTTCTATTAAAAATGTCCTAAAAAACTTGTTAAGACGCCCAAAACACCTTTAGATATGACGCTTTATATTTTGGTCATATAAATTAAGTCCTATAAAGCGGTCTATTGGGACGCTTAGAGATTGAGGGTGTCCTATAAACCCAATTTTGTTGTAGTGTCAATCTTGCACGGTTTTGAGCATGAGGGTTCACAAATGCTATGTGGAGTGGAACATTTTTTGGATGGGATTTTTTGTTGGTAACATCATAATCTTTGTTCTCTTAATTTATGTTACCATCGCTAATAACCCCAATGGCCTTGTGAGTCTTGATTATTGAATCGAAATCATTACCTTCGCCATCATCATCATTTACGACCCATCTCACCATTATGATAGATTTTGCTCTTTCTGCACTTAAGGTTATCAGAGTTCCTAGACATGACATCGGTTTTCCAAGTGTTTCACCTCACCTTCTATCCCCATGCGGGATGGAAGGTACGGTGAAAACATGTGTGTGTCATATCTCTGATAACCTTAAGTGCAGAAAGATTGAAGTCTTTGATAATAGCGAGCTGCATGGGTCGTAAATGCTATGATGGTGACGATGAGGGTAATGACTTCGATTCAGAATCAAGATTCACAAGGCCATCAAGATTATTAGCGGCAATAACAGAAAGAGAGCAAAGATTGTAATGTGGAAATAAATGAAG